CCCATCCCCTCCCCAATCCAGGGGCCTCATTCCCATCCCCTCCCCAATCCAGGGGCCTCATTTATCCCACTGAATGCACAGATTGATTGGGGACTCAGCTCCTCCCACCTGCGCGCAGTACTGGGATGCAGAGACAGCTTGAATGAGCCTGAGGATGGACTGGGACGGGGACCCTGCTTGCGAGACCGCCCGGATGAAAGCCGTGAACTTCTTGGAGGGGCTGGAGCCTGAAAAAAAGATGGGAAAGAACGGGTGGTGTGGCACAGCCCGAGCCTGCCGCGCTCAGCCGGGACGGGCAGGATCCTACCGTGCTGCAGGTAGTAGAAAGGAAAATCCCCGAGGTGGGTGGAGAAATCAGGCAGGACCARGAGCCCGCCGGGCAGCGCGTTCCAGAGGAATCGGGAGCGGGAGCGGTGCGGGGCCAGGCGGTCCTTGATGATCTGCCGGAGGGCGGAGTGATGCTCGAACGGTAGATTCGAGCCGGGGAGGGGAGCTCGGGGCGCGGGGCTCACCTCCAGCGTGGTGTGCACGATCTTGTCCACCGAGGAGAAGTAGGCGTCCCACAGGAGCTGCGTCTGCTGCTGGAAGGCCAGGACGCGCTCGGGGTGGATGCAGCGCACGGCGGAGGGGATCTGTGCCGGGACGGGCACCAGCTCAGAGCTCCCCGCTGCCTCTGCCACCTCCTTCTGTCCCAGCCGTGCCAGGGGCTGGGTGCCACCATCCCGCTGTGCCCAGAGCCGGGCTGAGCCCAGGATTCCCAAGGGTTTGTGTCTGGGAGGATGCTCCATCCCTTCCCCCCGAAATGAGCAGTGCCCCAGGGCTGCACTGGGACGGGACCCCCATTCCATGATGGACCAGGCTCAGCCGTGAGGGGCTCACCCCAAACTTGGCTCCATCACCCCTGGCAATAGATCTGGGGGTCTCTTGCCCGGCGTGGGGCAGGATCGGGGCTCGGTACCTGCAGCAGGAGCCTCTCGCTGCCCACGACCGCAGCTTTGCCCCAGTCGATGGCCTCGGCGAAGGGCAGCTCCCAGCCGTCACTCAGCAGCACCGGGATGCAGGCGGCCTGCGGAGGGACCCCTCAGGGTGGGACAGAGCCCCCAGAGCCCAGGGARGGGGTCACCTGTGCCCCTACACCCCCTGTACCTGCAGAGCCTCGAGGAAGCGGAAGGACCCCAAGCGCCTGCCCCGGGGCACGATGCAGAAAGTGGAGTTGTGCAGCAGCTCCTGGTAATCAAACCTGGGGTGGGAGAAGGGGCTGGGGTCAGGCSTGGCCCCCTCCCCTCCTGTGAGCATCCCGAGGGTGTCACTGGAACCTGGAAGGATGCAGCCAACCAGGGCAGCATCAGGGCCGGTTTGGGCTGATTTTGGCTCTGAATATCCCGGGTTTTGTGGGAGCAGAGATGTCCTGGGTGATAAAGGGATGTACGTGGGTATCCCTTAAAGAACGGGGACCAGGACAGGACCCCAGCGCCTTTTGAAGGCGTGACCCAGCTCCTCCACCCCCCAGCAATGTCACCGCACCCCAATCCCCGAGCCCGAAACTGCAGCGGCTCCCGTGCCGTGCCCAGACCTGCCGGGCAGGACCAGCCCTGCCTGCCCTGGCAGCGTTCGGGGGGGCTGTGGGTGCTGCCAGCGCGGCCCCCCCGGGCCCGTGGGGCTCTCAAAGCCCCTTCTGTGCCGCGATGGGGAGAGGCTCGTCCGCTGCCGGGTCCCTGCGGCCGCGCCGGAAAATCCAATATTGACTTAAGGTCGGGACAGACCCCGTCTGTTCCTGCCCGCGGGGAGGGGCAGCCGGTCCTGGATGGGCTGGGGGGTTTTCGCGTGGTCCGGGTGGGCTTGGGGAAGCCAAAAAGCGCCCTTGAAATGAGCTGCTCKCCAGGAGGAAGGGTCTCCCTGCGGTGGGCGCCGGGCCAGGCTGGGAGCTGGGGATGCCGGAGCACCCAGGGGCGCTCCGGGATGCGGGAAATCAACCCCAATGCCGAGRCACGAAGTTCTACAATAAAATCCGCCTCTGGATGAACCTCCCCAGCGTCTCCAAAGGATGCCAAAACCTCGAGTCGTTAACACCCCAACCCCTGGCCGGGCACCGCAGGGGTGACAGCGGCTCAAACAGCAGCGACAGCCACAWCGCCGGGGCCAGACACCTCTGCCACAGCTCCTCGGGGACCCCCAGAACCAGCCGTGACCCCCGGCACCTCCGGGGGACCATTCCCGCCGGCGGGGCAGGGTGGGCAGCGCGGCGGTGCCGCCGGGAGCCTGGCGCCGGCCGGGCTGCGGGGCCGGAGCTCCCGATGGAAATACTTCGCTCCTGACGCGCTGCGGTTTCCGGGCAATCACGCCGTCAGGGCTTCCTTGTTTTGTTAGGAGCCGGGACGGGCGCCCGCCGCGCTCCCTTGGCCAGGCCCCTCCGCGGCTCCGGCCAGGCACGGTGCCACCGGGAGCGGCGGCTCCGCAGAGCCCGTCCCAGCCCGGTCTGGCTGCTCCGAGAGCCGGGCAAAGCGCTGCCACAAGCTGCCCTTTATCCCGGCACAGACCCAGGATTGTTTTGGGCATTAGGAGGGTGATGGAGCCCCCAGCAAAGCTTTGCTCTGCTCCCCGAGCTGCCTCCGCCGCGACAGAACCCAGCGGTCCCAACGCACCGGGAGAACGGGGCCGCTGGGTGTCACTTGGCACTTGTGGTGTGTCCCCTCCCCGCTGGCCTGTTCCCTGTCCAAATCTGGGAACATCTCCCGGGGCAGGAGGGCACCGATCCCCGCGGGAGGTCGGGCAGAGCCGGCTCCAATGGAGATGCCGGTGGTTTTTGCCCAGTCCCGCAGGGATGAGCMGGGCGGCGGCGGTTCGGGGTCACACAGGAGCACGCTGCCCTGTGCCACGTGTTCCCCGTGGATCCGCTGCCCAAAGCCATCCTGGGAGAGGTGTAAATCTCCCTGTATTTGCAAACAGCATTAGGGGATTACCTGGGTGGGCGGATGGGGGGGAAATCTCATCCCGCTGCTCCGTGAGCAGTGCGGGGCTGAGCCGGTGTCCCCTGTCCTGCCAACCCCACTGTCCTGCGATGCCCCATCCCAAAAGGACTYTGCTGCAAGTGCTGACCCTGCTGGGCTGGTGGCACCTCCAGACAGAGCCATGTGGTGCCTGACCCATCCCAAAGCCCCGGCTAATCCCAGTGCCAGCACCCCAGCTCCACTTTTACCTCCCGGCACCTCCTAAGACGCTTTGAGGATGATGCCCAACGCGGCCTCTCCCCATCTGCTCTCCAGCCGGGTGGCTGGAGGATGTCCCCAGGCGTGGGATGGGGACCTGCCCGTTGTCTGTGGGATGGGGTCTGTGTTTGCCAGCCCTGGACTGGATCCATCCCCGGTGATGGGTCCCAGGTAGTGGCATGGGAAGGTGAGGAGCTGGCGTGTGTGCCTGCAGCACGGAACCCCCCAAACTCACAGAACTTTGCCTCCCCCAATTTTTTGTGCACCAAGGTCCAACACACACTGCTGCCACCATGTCCATTTGTGTTGGGGATGCAGAGGGACCCCCACCCACCACCACCAGTTAAGCTCGGGGCTGCCCGCACCGGGACCCGCCARTTTTGTGGGATTTTCAGTGGAGCCAGTGAGGGGGGGATGTTTCGGGCTCATCTCCAAGAGAAACGTTTATGTTGGGGGAGAGCGGGAGGGGGGAGAAGAAAAGCGTCATTCATCAGCGTTCGGAAAAAGGGAAATCGTATTAGAGGCGGTGGCAGCGATTGCAGATAAGAGCCGCTCTCGCCAGATTACTCCAACTTTAATACAGAGCAGGAAAGCCCTGAGCAGTCAGCGCYTCGCTCCCCGCTGTGCCACGGAACCCTCATCTATTTCAGGACAGCCCAAAATTCCCTCTCTGGAAGCGCAGCCACCACAGACGGTCAGAGACAGGAACATTTRTGGGGTGTCCCACCCGCCCGGACCCCTTTTCCCTCCTCATCTCCCACTCACTTTTCGTAGTCCACGTTATCCTTGTCGCAGCGCGTGTCCTTGTGCTTCTCCCAGTCCTTGCCGTGCTTGCAGGTGGTGAGGGAGATGATGTCCTTCCCGTTGTGGATGTGGTGCAGCGCGTTCCGGGTGCCGGAGCCGATGCCCGTCAGGTACCGCTTACCCTTAAACACCAGCAGGTATTTTTTTTTCGGGGGCAGCGAGTCCTGGTACAGCCACCCCCTGTCCCCTCCKCGCTGCGGGTGCTCCTTGGAGAAGAGCGGGATGGAGATGTCGAAGCCGGGCCGAAAGCTGTCGGTGTCGAAGCTGGCTTTGGCCAGCATGGCCTGGCCGATATCGAAACCCAGCTCGCCGGTGTAGTTGGGCCAAGTGCCCGAGTARAGGTTGAAGATGAGGTGATTGCGGCCGCCGTTCCAGAGCGGGAAGCCGCGGATTTTCTCATCCACATTCYGGACGTACTGGCCCGAGAGGTGGTCGCGGTCCAGCGTGTCGATGCCSAGGATGAACAGACACGCTTCCTCGGGGTTCCCCGTGTGGTAACGCGAGCGCTGGATGGAGCTGAGGATTTTACCGTAGCTCTCCGAGACGGGCTGGCCCCGCTCCTGGGGGTAGGTGAACACTTTGAAGCCGTGCTTCTCGCACCTGGAGAAGTCGAAGCAGGTTTCCATCCGGCAGCTGCTGCTCCTGTGGATGCTCAGCCTCGCCGCCCGCCGCTCCCGGGGGGACAGCAAGGAAGGGTCCCCATCCCTCTGCAGCTCCTCGGGGTCCGCAAAGCTTTTGAGGAGGGACCGATCCGTCCAGTGGGGCCAGCTCCTCCGGGCTTTGGCTTTCCTCCCGGAAAAGAAAGCGAAATGGCGCAGCTGGTCCCCCCCAAAGAGGAAAAGCAGCAGCCAAGAGGCAAGGAAAGTCAGGAAAATGTATTTCTTCCTGGTCTGCATAGGTTCACAGGCAGCCCCAGCTCCTCATCGGGCTCACACGGGTGCCAGAGTCCGCTGGAAAGGCCGATGTCCCRAACCCCGAGCGGGCGATGGGACAGCTCCTGGCCCCCCGGAATTGTCCTGAGCCCTCGCAGTCTGTGACAAACCCCACTACAGCCCCCTCTGCCCAGGGCTGTGCTGCTTTCTCGGGACCGTCCCGGTGTCCCGCCCGCTCACTTCTCCGGGCCCCCGAGCCGCGACAATGACATTTCCATCTCTTGGCCCAGCTTCAAATCCCTGCAGGAGAGGAGAGGTCGCGCCGTCACCGTCCTGTCGCCGCCAACCGGGTCACCGCGAGTGGCTCCGCACATCCCTGCGGCGGGACCCACCTCCCCAGCCCCCTCGGGAATAAAACCCTGGGAACGAACGCTCCCGCAGCCACCGGAGCGGAGCGCCCCTCTCTCCGAGCTKCTCCCGGTGCCCCCGTTACCTTCGGGCACTCGCGGCCCCGGGTGGGTGTCGGGCCGCCGTGTCCCGGTGCCCCGATRTCCGGCTGCCCGCGGCTCCGGGCTGCATCCCCGGCCGGGAGAAGCGGCGGAGCGGCCCCGCCGGGCTCCCGGTGCGCGGGAGGACCCGCTGCGGGAGGCTCCCGGGGCTGGGGCGCTGGGCGTGTGCGTCCCGCTGGTCACCTTGTCCGTCTGTCCCTGCGCTGGGCTCTCTGTCCCCGTGTCTCCCCGGGTGCCTGTGAAAGACCCCAGCTGTCCGTCTCTGTCCTCCTGTCCCCGGTCCGTCTGTCCCCACCGGGGCTAGTTTTCCCCCTGTCCCCTGTCCCCCTCGGAGCTGGCTGTCCCCTGTCCGTCTGTCCCCACCGGGGCTAGCTGTCCCCCTGTCCCCTGTCCCTCTCGGAGCTGGCTGTCCCCTGTCGGTCTGTCCCGCCCCGGGCTGGCTGTGCCCTGTCTGTCTGTCAGTCCCCCCGGGATTGTCTGTCTCCTGTCCCCTCCCAGAGCTGGCTGTCCCTCGTCCGTCCGTCTGTCTGTCCCGCCCCGTGCTGGCTGTCCGCTGTCCCCTCCCGGATCTGGCTGTGCCCTATCGGTCT